GGCCCTCTGTTGGTGGTCTCCTAGGTAACCAACTTTTCTCTTCTCCTTGGCCCTTTTGCCTCTGAGCCTTCTCCTCCAGAGTAGGTGTTTAAGCAGATCTTTGCTGATCAAGTGAAAGAGACAGAAGAGTCCTACTAGCATGCAAATTGGATCTTGTTGCATTTCTGATTAGAATCCTTCAGTGGCTCACCTTGCTTTTAGGATAAAATCCCAACTGCCAGCTCTGATTCAAGCCTTCTCATAATCAGACCTTTCCTGGCCTTCTTCCCATCACTCCCCACGGCATTCTGTGGTCTGGTCACCCTGAGTGAATGTTCAGAAACTTTCTGGCTGGTGCGTCTTTTAAATGTCGCGTTTAAGAACGGTCTGGGACTCTGGAGTCACACTGATTTTGAGTCACCTTCCAGCTTCAGCAACGACAGCCTAGAGAGACTGGCTAGGCCTCTCTGTGCTGCAGTTTTACCATCTGTAAGAGTAAGGCCTTGTAAAGGCTCGGAAGCCTTGATTTCCCCATCGTTAAATCAGTATAACAATAACACCTACCTCATTAGAGTTCCTGTACAGGGTTGCTATGGGTCAGAACTGACTTGACGGCACTTAACAACAACAACAACATTAGAGTTGCCAGGAAATCTATAGAGTGCTTACAGACATACTCCTGGTGTGCCATTTGTAGGATCAGCACTGGACTCCAAACTACAAGTTTGGCAGTTCAAACCTACCAGCTGCTCCTTGGGAACCCTATAAAGGGTGGCTATGAGTCAGAACCAACTGATGGCATTTAACAACAACAATACAAACATACCTAACATGCACTAAATCCTTAATTATGTTGTTGTTAGGTGCTATCGAGTCAGTACCAGCTCATAACAACCCTATGCACAACAGAACAAAACACTGCTCGGTCCCAGGCCAACCTCACTTCTGTTGCCACGCTTGACCCCATTGATGTTGCTACTTGGCCAATCCATTTTGCTGGGGGTCTTCCTCTTATTCTCTGACCCTCTACCTTACCAAACATGATATCCTTCTCCAGAGACTGGTCCCTTC